TCTTCATCTGTGAGGAAATTGTCCAGCATTCACTGCCATATAGGAGGATTGATATTACATAGCAGTTCAGCACTCTTTTCTTTGTTTCTCTTGCTTCAAGTCTCCTCTTCATCTGTGAGGAAATTGTCCAGCATTCACTGCCATATAGGAGGATTGATATTACATAGCAGTTCAGCACTTTTTCTTTGTTCTCTTGCTTCAAGTCTCCTCTTCATCTGTGAGGAAATTGTCCAGCATTCACTGCCATATAGGAGGATTGATATTACATAGCAGTTCAGCACTCTTTTTCTTTGTTTCTCTTGCTTTAAGTCTCCTCTTCATCTGTGAGGAAATTGTCCAGCATTCACTGCCATATAGGAGGATTGATATTACATAGCAGTTCAGCACTCTTTTCTTTGTTTCTCTTGCTTTAAGTCTCCTCTTCATCTGTGAGGAAATTGTCCAGCATTCACTGCCATATAGGAGGATTGATATTACATAGCAGTTCAGCACTCTTTTTCTCTTTGTTTCTCTTGCTTCAAGTCTCCTCTTCATCTGTGAGGAAATTGTCCAGCATTCACTGCCATATAGGAGGATTGATATTACATAGCAGTTCAGCACTCTTTTTCTTTTGTTTCTCTTGCTTTAAGTCTCCTCTTCATCTGTGAGGAAATTGTCCAGCATTCACTGCCATATAGGAGGATTGATATTACATAGCAATTCAGCACTCTTTTCTTTGTTTCTCTTGCTTTAAGTCTCCTCTTCATCTGTGAGGAAATTGTTCCGCATTCACTGCCATATAGGAGGATTGATATTACATAGCAGTTCAGCACTCTTTTCTTTGTTTCTCTTGCTTCAAGTCTCCTCTTCATCTGTGAGGAAATTGTCCAGCATTCACTGCCATATAGGAGGATTGATATTACATAGCAATTCAGCACTCTTTTCTTTGTTTCTCTTGCTTTAAGTCTCCTCTTCATCTGTGAGGAAATTGTCCAGCATTCACTGCCATATAGGAGGATTGATATTACATAGCAGTTCAGCACTTTTTTCTTTGTTTCTCTTGCTTTAAGTCTCCTTTTCATCTATGAGGAAATTGTCCAGCATTCACTGCCATATAGGAGGATTGATATTCCATAGCAGTTCAGCACTCTTTTCTTTGTTTCTCTTGCTTCAAGTCTCCTCTTCATCTGTGAGGAAATTGTCCAGCATTCACTGCCATATAGGAGGATTGATATTACATAGCAGTTCAGCACTCTTTTCTTTTGTTTCTCTTGCTTCAAGTCTCCTCTTCATCTGTGAGGAAATTGTCCAGCATTCACTGCCATATAGGAGGATTGATATTACATAGCAGTTCAGCACTCTTTTCTTTTCTCAGTTTCTCTTGCTTCAAGTCTCCTCTTCATCTGTGAGGAAATTGTCCAGCATTCACTGCCATATAGGAGGATTGATATTACATAGCAGTTCAGCACTTTTTCTTTGTTTCTCTTGCTTCAAGTCTCCTCTTCATCTGTGAGGAAATTGTCCAGCATTCACTGCCATATAGGAGGATTGATATTACATAGCAGTTCAGCACTCTTTTCTTTGTTTCTCTTGCTTCAAGTCTCCTCTTCATCTGTGAGGAAATTGTCCAATTCACTGCCATATAGGAGGATTGATATTACATAGCAGTTCAGCACTCTTTTTAGATTGTTTCTCTTGCTTCAAGTCTCCTCTTCATCTGTGAGGAAATTGTCCAGCATTCACTGCCATATAGGAGGATTGATATTACATAGCAGTTCAGCACTCTTTTCTTTGTTTCTCTTGCTTTAAGTCTCCTCTTCATCTGTGAGGAAATTGTCCAGCATTCACTGCCATATAGGAGGATTGATATTACATAGCAGTTCAGCACTTTTTCTTTGTTTTTCTTTGCTTTAAGTCTCCTCTTCATCTGTGAGGAAATTGTCCAGCATTCACTGCCATATAGGAGGATTGATATTACATAGCAGTTCAGCACTCTTTTTTCTTTGTTTCTCTTGCTTCAAGTCTCCTCTTCATCTGTGAGGAAATTGTCCAGCATTCACTGCCATATAGGAGGATTGATATTACATAGCAGTTCAGCACTCTTTTCTTTGTTTCTCTTGCTTTAAGTCTCCTCTTCATCTGTGAGGAAATTGTCCAGCATTCACTGCCATATAGGAGGATTGATATTACATAGCAGTTCAGCACTCTTTTCTTTGTTTCTCTTGCTTCAAGTCTCCTCTTCATCTGTGAGGAAATTGTCCAGCATTCACTGCCATATAGGAGGATTGATATTACATAGCAGTTCAGCACTCTTTTCTTTGTTTCTCTTGCTTCAAGTCTCCTCTTCATCTGTGAGGAAATTGTCCAGCATTCACTGCCATATAGGAGGATTGATATTACATAGCAGTTCAGCACTCTTTTCTTTGTTTCTCTTGCTTCAAGTCTCCTCTTCATCTGTGAGGAAATTGTCCAGCATTCACTGCCATATAGGAGGATTGATATTACATAGCAGTTCAGCACTCTTTTCTTTGTTTCTCTTGCTTCAAGTCTCCTCTTCATCTGTGAGGAAATTGTCCAGCATTCACTGCCATATAGGAGGATTGATATTACATAGCAGTTCAGCACTCTTTTCTTTGTTTCTCTTGCTTCAAGTCTCCTCTTCATCTGTGAGGAAATTGTCCAGCATTCACTGCCATATAGGAGGATTGATATTACATAGCAGTTCAGCACTCTTTTCTTTTGTTTCTCTTGCTTTCAAGTCTCCTCTTCATCTGTGAGGAAATTGTCCAGCATTCACTGCCATATAGGAGGATTGATATTACATAGCAGTTCAGCACTCTTTTCTTTGTTTCTCTTGCTTTAAGTCTCCTCTTCATCTGTGAGGAAATTGTCCAGCATTCACTGCCATATAGGAGGATTGATATTACATAGCAGTTCAGCACTCTTTTCTTTGTTTCTCTTGCTTCAAGTCTCCTCTTCATCTGTGAGGAAATTGTCCAGCATTCACTGCCATATAGGAGGATTGATATTACATAGCAGTTCAGCACTCTTTTCTTTGTTTCTCTTGCTTCAAGTCTCCTCTTCATCTGTGAGGAAATTGTCCAGCATTCACTGCCATATAGGAGGATTGATATTACATAGCAGTTCAGCACTCTTTTCTTTGTTTCTCTTGCTTCAAGTCTCCTCTTCATCTGTGAGGAAATTGTCCAGCATTCACTGCCATATAGGAGGATTGATATTACATAGCAGTTCAGCACTCTTTTCTTTGTTTCTCTTGCTTCAAAGTCTCCTCTTCATCTGTGAGGAAATTGTCCAGCATTCACTGCCATATAGGAGGATTGATATTACATAGCAGTTCAGCACTCTTTTCTTTGTTTCTCTTGCTTCAAGTCTCCTCTTCATCTGTGAGAAATTGTCCAGCATTCACTGCCATATAGGAGGATTGATATTACATAGCAGTTCAGCACTCTTTTCTTTGTTTCTCTTGCTTCAAGTCTCCTCTTCATCTGTGAGGAAATTGTCCAGCATTCACTGCCATATAGGAGGATTGATATTACATTCAGTTCAGCATCTTTGTTTGTTTCTAACTTGCTTCAAGTCTCCTCTTTCATCTGTTGTCTTAGATTTGCCATATAGGATCCATTAAGCAATCAGCACTCTTTTCTTTGTTTCTCTTGCTTCAAAAACCTTTCATCTGATGGAATTGTCCAGCATTCACTGCCATATAGGAGGATTGACTGGGCTGTTCAGCACTCTTTTCTTTGTTTCTCTTGATTTAAGTCTCCTCTTCATCTGTGAGAAATTGTCCAGTTTCACTGCCATATAGGAGCAATGATATTACATAAGCAGGATAGCACTCCCTCTTGAAAAGACTCCTCTTCATCAAAAGTTGAGGAAATTGTCCAGCATTCACTGCCATATAGGAGGATTGATATTGTTTTCCAGTTTTCAGCACTCCTTTCTTTGTTTCTCTTTGCTTCAAGTCTCCTCTTCATCTGTGAGGAAATTGTCCAAAGTTCACTGCCATATAGGAGGATTGATATTACATAGCAGTTCAGCAACATCTTTGTTCTCAATCTTCAAGTCTGACTTCATCTGTGAGGAAATTGTCCAGCATTCACTGCCATAAGGAGGATTGATATTACACCAGCAGTTCAGCACTGTTTCTTTGTTTCTCAAAGAAGTCTCCTTCATCTGATAAAAATGTCCAGCATTCATTGCCAAATAAGAATCTGTCTACATAGTGTTCATGGTTTTGGTTGTTTTTCTTGCTAAAGAGAATAATCTGTTGAGGGTCCAGCATTCACTGCCATATCGAGATTGATATTACAGACAAACATTCAAATATCCTCTTCTGGAGGAACTATTCACTGCCATAAGAGGATTTATTACGTAGACAGCACTCTTTTCTTTTTTCTCTTGCTTATCTTTCTTCATCTGATAGAAGAAATTGGCATTCAATGCCATATAGGAGGATATATTACATAGATTCATAGATGATAAATACTAAATCAGATAGATAGATAGATAGAACAATGAATTCCCCAGAAATATAAAATTTTGTTACATCATCAGTTCAAAGACTTTTTTTTGTTTTTTTTGCAGGTAAATTCGCTATAATCTGAAAAGGCCAAACATTCTTGGGCATAGATAGATTAATCCCAGATAGATCCGTCTGAACTGACGAAAATTCTTCATCTGTAGATGAATAAATAAATAGATATGAAAAGGCTTCCTATAGATAGATAGATTGATAGATAGATAGATTTCCTTAGAACTTTCTTTTATTTTAAACTAGATTTGTGAACTGGGTCTCTATAAACGTCTCCGTAAATGATAAGATAGATATGAAAAGGATTTTTCTTGGAACCCATATGCTTCAAACTAGATAGATAGATAGATAGATTTATAGATATGGATAGATAGATATGTAACGACTGAAATATTGTAATAGAACATCTGTTCCGTCGAGCTATGAACATTCAAAATGTAGTTTTAAAATTTATGGGCAAAAACCTTTTTTAGATGGATGGAATAGATAGATAGATAGATAGATATCCTAGATATTTATGAAAAATATATAGATAGATATGAACTGAAATAGATTTGAAAAGAAAATAAATGAATGTATAGGTAGATAGATGATAGATAGATAGATAGATAGATAGATAGATATTGACTGATGACAGCTGAAATAGATTTTGTACTCAAAAGTAGATAAATAAAGAAACCAGCGGCAAAATAAATAATGGGATACAGTAGATAGATAGATAGATAGATAGATAGATAGATACTAATAGAAATAGATTTTGAAGAAAAACATATTAATAGATAACAATAAATAGATATGAAAAGGCGGCAAAGATAGATAGATAGATAGATAATAGATAGATAGATAGATAGATAGATGTGAACTGATAAAGATTTGTACTCAGATAAATAGATAAATAGAATAGATATGAAAAAAGGCTTTTACAGATAGATAGATAGATAGATAGATAGATAGATAGATATTACCAGATAAGATTTTTGGGAAATAAATAGATAGATTTTTTTCAATATATCTAGATAGATAGATAGACAGATAGATAGATAGATAGATAGAAACTATTTTGAAAAACCCAAGTAATAAAAGATAGATATGAAAAAAATAAGATAGATAGATGAATGTTTTTATATGAACGACGAAAATATGTATAAAATGATACATTGTAAAAAAAAAATTGGTATTTTTAGATAGATAGATAGATAGATTGTATACACAAATTTTACAGACTAAATTCTCATAATGACATTTTGTGATAAAGATAGATGAAAATAACATTAATGATTTTCCTATTATGATTTGAAATTCTTTTCAATTACATTGATAGAGATTTTTAGATAATAAAATAAGTAATCTCAAAATCATTAATTATGGATGTTTTTAAATGCAAGAAAAAATAAAAACTCGTCCCATTAATATGGAATTTTTAATGTCCTAAAAAATTGTAAAAAACAATAACAAAAAAAAAAAATGAAAACAAATGGAGGTGTTTAATAAAAAAAAATTTTTTTTTCTAGTTTTCTCTAGGATTTCTTCTTTTTCTTTTTATGTGCCGTGTCCTTTCAGGACGTTGGCGATCATGGCTCTCCACTTCTTCATATCCCTTGTAGATCGCAGCAAGTTCCTTGCCTCTTTTTTTTCCTCCTCCAGACCCCGACCTGTCATCCACTTGTTTAAGTCCGCTAGGTATGTCACGCGTCTTTTTCCCTTGTCTCTCTTTCCCTCTATTCGACCCGTGAGTATCAGGTTCTCCAAGCCCTCCTTCCTCGTTAAGTGACCCAGAAACCTCAGCTGCCTCTTCTTGATGTCATGGAATTAAGAATAACAAAAATGAAAAGCAAGACAGAGTTAACACAAAACAAAAAACTGTTGTCAAACCCACCGAAAATATTCAGATCGACTAAGCAAGGAGACCTGGTTAGACGGATGTTTTTTAATACGGAAAGGAAGGTACACCGTATCTTGGATATGGGCAACGAGTCGAAGTCGAAGAGTAATAAAACCAAAATGTGCATCCATACTCTTGTGGGGCTCTCCCCTTTTGACATAAGATAGAATCGTCCAAAGTATAATTATACTGACAGAGAGAATACCTGTTGTTGAGTTACGTCGAGATTCTATATATATATATCCCTCGTGGGTGGGATATTAAATACTGAGTTACGTCGAGATACAGTCTCGACGTCTGTCGAACTCCCTGCTTTGCCAAAGAGGAACCCAGACGAAGTTTTGCCGAAGGGCAAGGTTTCGTCCGGAGAGGTAGACAGGCCCTGAACCCGTCTAAGCCGGTTCAAAGGGTATATTTTTGGTCGAGCCTACGGGCTCGGAGAAACCCACATTAAACTCAGCCTTGTGCCATATATATTCCTCGTGGGTGGGATATTAAATACCGAGATACGCGCAGATACGTGAAGATACGTTGAGACAGGTTGAGAGATACGGTGACAGACACAGGGTGTTCTCAGAGAGTTATACAAGAGTCCAGAGAGAGAAAAGAGAGAGATGATTGAAAATGGAATTTACAGAGACTTGTACATATTTTTACTACTAGAACCCGCATTCCTCCGACTAAAATCTTCACTTCAAGTCTGTATTCTTACGTTTAATACACTTATTTTCTATCTCAATTACTGGCGTTGTTTATTTATTTGTGCAGGATTCCATTCACGGAATCCATAACAAATGATACCATTTTTACCTCTTACAAGTTAAAAAATATAGAACTTGTAAGCTGATTTTCTATCCATTATTGATGGCACACTTGAAACGACACCGCAAACTTTAAAGGGGAAATAAAACAAAATATGATTATATACCAGGACCTCGCTCGTGATTTACGAAAATATAGAACTTAAAAGTAGAATTTATGATGTAATATATTATGCAGTGCAGAAGTTTTAGTGTAATTTCCAATAAAAAAAAATGTAAATTTAAAACTTTTCCTCTTATAAATTTTGCCCAGCAGTATTATGCTGTTATATACACGTTTATATATTTTTGTTTTTGATTAATTATGATCTGAAAATGATCTAATAAACCTTATTCACTGAGGAGCCTTTTTGGTATCATAATTAGAATTCTGGTTTGAATATTTTCCATGCAATGTATATAATGAAAATATAACAACTTTATTTGGATTTATTCTTGAAATAGTAAAGTTTTGAATTTATTTTGTAAGCAAAACCCCGCAGACATTATGTAAATCCGTGCAATTTTTCCAGGCGATTTTTAAATCTAAATGCTTAAAAATTAGTAAGAGCTATGAATTTAAGGTTTAGTGTCAGGTCTTATGACAGCAAACCCTAGCATTTACGGCGAGTGCAATTTAATTTTAATTTTCTCAAGACAAGCGACTCTTGGACAAAGACTTGTATTTCTTTTTTATATATTTCCTACTTTTACGCAATTTTTAAACAAAACTTAAAGACAACAGGCATTACTGTTGAACTATTGTTAAGAACTGTATAATGACAAAAGCACGTAGGTGTAGGCTTTACGAAAGCTTTGTTCAACTGAGAATACAAGGTTCGCGTATAGTGTCCTTTTATAATCCCAGTAAACAGAAATAGCTCTCTTAATGAGGAGAGTAACAAAACAATGGGAGATCACTTATGATTATTCATAACACACTGTTTTTTTTTCTTTTTCTTTTCCAAATCGCGTTCTAATCTAAGTGTTGTAATAATAATAATAATAATAATAATAATAATAATAATGCATCCGAAATCAGCCCCACTCATTTGCTGTACGAAGACAGTTTCAAGCTATTTTCCCCAAAATAAAACTGAATTGACAGTATTAATCTAACTGGTTGGAATCTTCAGCCAAGTTTGAAATGGTATTTGGGATTCAAATAGACAGAATGCGAGTTATATGCAAAGCAAAGAAAGAGACCACAGTCAGAATTCCGATAAAGAACGGTGGAATTAAAATAGACACAAGAACGGACGTAGAATAGAAAGTTGCAGCAAAAATATTTTTGGCTGTTGGATTGGATTCAATACAGAAAAACCAAACAAAAAAAAAAAAGACTATTTTCTTGCAAACGGGGAAGACATAACGAATCAAACAAAACAAGAGAAAACAAATAAAAAGCCGCCAATACATGAGTATCATTCACAAAAGAACAATGAATTGGTTCGTGACCGATATCGGTAAACATTCCTCGTGTTCTTTTAAGAAAGGTGTATCACCCTATGCAAGGCAGCAAAGCCACTAAGACACAAGGGGTTACGGGTTGTGGAAGAATTAGGAACAGAAACATTAATAATGAGCGTGAAGAGAAACGAGTAAACAGGTGGACAGTAGATAATGATTGACATTGCATTTAAATTTTTGCAGATTAAAGTCGACTGGAAAATATGGAGTCAGAAGGTAGTTCTACAAGAAAGGTAGTAAAGCCTCTGAGATACAAAGGTTTACAGGGTGTGGAAGAATTAGGAACAGAATCATTAACAATGAACGGGAAGAGAAAAAGAGTAATCAGGGGGACAGTAGATAGCGATTGACATTGTATTTAAATTTTTTATAGATTAAAGTTGACTGGAAAGCATGAAGTCAGAAGGAAATTCCACAAGCAAGGCAGTAAAGCCACTAAGACACAAGGGGTTACTGGGTGTGGAAGAATTAGGAACAGAAACATTAATAATGAGCGGGAAGAGAAAAGTGTAATCAGGAGGAGAGTAGATAGCGATTGATATTGCATTTAAATTTTTGCAGATTAAAGTTGGCAAGAAAGCATGGAGTCGAAGGGAGTTTTAAAAGTAAGGCAATAAAGCCACTAAGACACAAGGGGTTACAGGGTGTGGAAGAATTAGGAACAGAAACATTAATAATGAGCGGGAAGAGAAACGAGTAATCAGGAGGAAAGTAGATAGCGATTGACATTGCATTTAAATTTTTTCAGATTAAAGTTGGCTGGAAAGCATGGAGTCAGAAGGGAATTCCACAAGATTCAGGCAGTAAAGCCACTAAGACATAAGGGGTTACTTTGTGTGGAAGAATTAGGAACAGAAACATTAATAATGAGAGGGAAGAGGTAAAGATCATTTAGAGGAGAGTAGATAGCGATTGATATTGCATTTAAATATTTGTAGATTAAAGTTGGCAAGAAAGCATGGAGTCGAAGGGAGTTTTAAAAGTAAGGCAATAAAGCCACTAAGACACAAGGGTTTACAAGGTGTGGAAGAATTAGGAACAGAAACATTAATAATGAGTGGAAAGAGAAAAGAATAATCAGGAGGAGAGTAGATAGCGATTGATATTGCATTTAAATATTTGTAGATTAAAGTTGGCTGGAAAGCATGGAGTCAGAATTGAGTTCTAGAAGCAAAACAGTAAAGCCACTAAGATACAAAGGTTGACAGGTGTGGAAGAATTAGGTACACCATTAAGTTTAAATAAGTCCGGTGAGAAGACACATCTTGTTTTACGCCCCGTTCTGTTTTTGTGCACTGACGGAATTCATTCTTTATTCTTATAATCCTATTAAAATCTATATAATACTAAATATTCTGTGATTTTGTGGTGTGTCCGTCATGCGCTTATTTATATTTCACGACTTATTTATACAGTCCGCATTTCTTTTCAACTTTTTTTCAAACAGACAATTTTTTTAATTCAAATATTTTAAAGTTAAAGACAGACACAACGAAATCCCACTTTGCTGTTTCATCCAGTTGTTTCTAAAGTATTATTTATTTAACAAACAATATTTTAAAGATTTAAAAAAATATTAATCTGATTTAAATCAATTATTTGAATGAATAAGATTTAAAAATACGAGTTCTATATATAGTAAGTTTTTTTTTAGTTTAACTTTCTTCAAACCAACAATTTTTAATTAAAATATTTTAAGTTTTTCTTTAAACAAAGAATATTTTACATATGTAAAAATATTTTTGGCATGTTAAAAATATTTTTAAGTTAATCTTATTAAAAAAAAAAAAAAGAAAAAAAAAGAAAATTAAGTGAATAAGATTTAAAAATACGGGTCGTTTATACAGTAAGTATTTTTATTTCAACTTTCTTTAAACAGATATTTTTTTTTAATTAAAATATTTTAAAGATTTAAATTTGCAAAAAAGATTCCGTGTTGCTGTTTCATCTAGTTGTTTGTAAAGTATTATTTACTAGCAGTAGATAATGCCCGGCGTTGCCTGGGGATGTAACAGTAAGAGATAGATCAAGGACATCGACCATCATAAAGACTGAAAAATTAAAATTGACAAAGATTATTGTTTAAGGTTGACGGACATTAATAAGGTGTCTTAAATAGT